ATATTTTTTTCCCCTGCGGAAAAGGAAATGATGCCATAGAGCATCTAACCATCTCCAGAGTGATGTGCCTGGAAGGGTTTATGGGCCTGAATAAGGGAGAAGGTATATTCTGAAGCTCTGTGCTATTTTAAAATTTAATGCATCTCCCAGCACATTGTGATTTTAGACTTGGGGACAGGCAGGGTTGTATACCAATGAGGGTTGTAAAGTCACTAGGTGTTGCTCTGAGCAAGAAGAGGTGGGTGTTGCCCGGTCTCCCCACCTTGGCCCCATAGGGCCTGGCTCGGGGCGGCTGTCTTCTTCCTCCCTCTCTCCCTCCCAGTGTCCCTGGTGCAACAGTGGTCAGCCCGAGATGGCAGCCCAGGTCTGGAGGTCCGCTCTGAGCGTTCCCCATGCTCTGCTTTTTGTCGGGAGGGCATCTGTCCCCCTGCCGTGCCTGATCCTCTTTCCCGGAGAGCTGCCATGTGATGTCCCAGGAAAATAAAATACCTTCACGTGTACAATTTCTTTGGTGCATTATTTCATTTCACTCATGTTCTACTTCCTCCTGTGTTTTGTTTTTTTCATGTATTCCATCAACTCCATCAGAAGAAGCTCACCAGTTAGCATGAGAAGCTGGTTCCGTATGGATTGGGCCTGATGTGTGAGGGTCCCATCACTTTGTGACATTTGTGACAACAAAGTGTTGTCACAAACTTAGTGGCTAAAACAACACAAACTTACTATCTCACAGTTCTGGAAGTAAGAAGTCCAAAGTCACCACAGTCAGTGTCAGCAGCACTGGTTCCATCTGGCGGCCCCAGGGCAGAATACTGTCCTGACCTTGTCCGGCCTTGTCTTGAGGGCCTGCATCACTGCAGCCTCGTTTCTGTCACCAGCTGTCCTTCTCTGGCTCTGACCCCTCCGCTGCCTCTTATGAAGACCTGGATAGCCCAGAATAACTTTTGAACTCTGGATCCTTAACTTAATGCCATTTGCAAAGTCCCTTTTGCCATGTAAGGTAACATATTCACAGGCCCTGGAGATTAGGACCTGGACATCTTTGGGGGGACATTATTTTTCTGACTACAGCGGGATTCAAAGCCCACTCTTTCCTTGCTTGAGAGGAGAGACCCCAAAACACTGGAATTGTCTTCTGAAGGGAGGGCCCTTGTAGTACGGACTTCCCTCACTAAGGGAACGTTCTAGGCACCCATTGTATCAGTGCACCAGCTGGTGTTGTGAGAGGCTGCGTTCAGATTTAGTGAATTTTCTTTGGAGACTCTTTCAGTGTGTTTGCCTGTTTCATGATGGGTGACTTATGAGTGCCCCTGCCCACACTGTGCTGAGTGTTCAGCAGTCCCTCCAAAACTGGCAGGACCCCCGTGCCCCACCCTTCTTATTCACCTGACTTCGCCCCCAGCAACTTTTTCCATTTCCCTGGATGAAAAAAAGTCCTCAAAAGGAAACATTTCGCTGATGTGGAAGAGGTAAAACCAAAAATGGAGGAAACACTAAAAGGCATCAAAATTGATGAGTTTAAAAACTGTTTTAAGCAGTAGAAAAATCATCTCCATAGGTTTATTGCATCAAATGGAGAGTACTTTGAAGGTGACTGGAGTTCGAATGTGTAAGAATAAATGCACAATTTCTTACAAATAAATTCCGATTTTGGGGGGCTCTGCCCGGTTTCCCCACCCTGTGAGGGTATTGTGAGGGCTGAAGGCAGCTGACCCTGCAACAGAGTGGGTTTGAACCGTGCGGCTGCACTTGCACGTGAATTGTAAAACCTGCGTTGTTCAAGAGCCAACTGTATCTGCTACCTGTTGGGGCTCAGAACGGGGCCTGGGACGTCAGGGTGCCCGGGTGAAGCTGGCCACCCCCGGAGCACCGGCTCCCTGAAGGCTGCGTCCAGTGCCCAGAACAGAATGCAGGGCACATTTTGCCTCCCTTTCTGAGGCTGAGCTGTCGGGAGGGGAGAAGCTGGGGAAAGGGCTGTGAAGAGCCCTCTTCAGGCTGCAGGGGTTTTCAAAAAGTGTGACATTGAGTGATTTTTGTAAATTTGCAGAGCTGTGTCATTGTCAGCATAATCCACCCCAGGACACTCACGAAGGGCCCTTCCCAGTTCCCTCCCACCCCCGGCCTCTTGCGTTCACTGACCTACTTTGTACACGTATCTGCTTTTTCTGGACATTTCATGTACGTGTGGTGTCAAAAAGTGTTGGGCTTTTTTCTTTTTTGCATCTGGATTCTCACACTTAGCATGCTTCTGAGATTCACTGCTGCAGCATTATCAGTACTTTGTTCTTTTGTGTCACCAAGTGGGAATTCTCTGTATGAGTTTACCAGATTTTGTTTTTTCACGTGTCACTTGATGGCCATCTTGGTCATCTCCCCCGTTTGGCTATCGTGAATAATGCTGCTGTGAACGTTCGTAGATAAGTTCTCACGTGGACACATTTTCATTTCTCTTGGGTATGCACCTAGGAGGGGGAGGGGGATGGCTGTGTCCTGCGTCTCTCTATGTTTAACTTTTCAAGACCCTGCCAAACTGTTTCCTTCTTTGCATCTGGATCCTAAAGTGACTACATGATTTGCATTTCCACCCCCCATGTGCGAGGGTTCCACTTTCTCCACACTCTACTCCACACTTGTTATTTGTCATCTTCTTTTGTTACCGTCATCCCAGTGCATGTGAAGTGGTTTGTTGTCAGTTATTTTGCATTTCCCTGATGGCTAACGACGTTCAACATTTTTTTATGTGCTTGTGGGTCATTCGTCTTTGGTGATATATCTGTTCAAACCTTTTGCTCATTTTTCAAAAGAATTACTTGTCTTATTGTGCTGTAAAAGTTTTTAAATGTACTCTGGGCACAAAGTTTTTGTATCAGGTAGATGATTTGCAAAGATTAATTTCTGTATAGTTGTAATTTTAGGTGTTGTAGTTGTAGCTCTTACATCTAGGTATGCGATCACTTTGAGTAAACTTTTGTGTATGGTGTGAGGTAGGGGTTTCTCTGTCTGTCGCTGGGATAGGACCATGCTGTTTTGATTACTATTACATTGCAGTAGAGTTTGAAACCTGGAACTCGGAGTCCTCCACCTTTGCTCTTTTTCCTCAAACATGTGCTGGCCACTGCGGGCCCTTTACCTTTCCTTCTGGCAGGATCAGCACGTAGTTTGGTTTCTGGGTGTCAGACCTGTTGGCTTCCTGCCTCTCCCAGCCCTTTCCTCCTCTCCGACCCGCTCTCCCTGGCTCAGCTCTCTTTGGGTCCAGGCGTGCACAGTGCCTGCTGTGGGCCCATGCTGGACCCCGGACTTGTTCCATTCCCTCCTTGCCTGCTGCTGTCCTCTCCTCCACACCGCTCCCCTTCCCTACTGAATGGCTTTCACGTTCCGGTCATGCCTATATCCTGTGATGGCTTCTTTACCTCACCCCCTTGTCCCCGCAATGACCCTGTAGCTTGCAAAGTTCCAGTTCTTTGTGCTAGTGACCTTCAAGTGACAGCCAGCCATTCCATCAGAAATACTGTGTTTTATGGAGTCTGTGACATTGGTCAGTTGGTGATGCACCATGGCTTTACGTGCACTGAGAAAAAGCAGTACTGACTGATCTCTGAAACATCCCTTTCTGATGGTGACTGCAGGGTACTTTCTGACGTCAGAGATCCTCCAGTTGGGAGGGGGCGCATCTCAGAGCTGGTAGAATATGGCTCTGGAGCTCTCTTAGTTGGGAGCTGATCCCTTCCTTTCTTTCCTAGTGTCGTGACTGTGTCACTCACAATAAACTCACTAGGAGGTACTCAGAGTATAATTCTTTTTTCTACCTGTTTTCATACTTGGTCAGGAACCTGTACCCTTCTTTCTCCTAACAAAGTGTAACAGACTGTCTTAGTTTTTACTTGGCCTCTTATGTTTCTCCGTTGGACCTCAGCTGTGCATGTGCATGGCAATGGGATCATGCCAGATCCCCAGCCTGTAAGTGTGCATGCTGAAGGGACTGCTCCATTTTCCACTGGTGGGTGCAGGTCTGGGGGTGCTGTGTTTGGGTACAGAACCTGCTGTCTGCTAACCTTAGCCTGTGCCTGGCCGGGATGGTCCAAGGCTCCTGGTCCCTCGATTAGAGTTTGCAGTTTATTCCGAGTCTCCATCTGTGGGCGAAGGAGCCTCAGGGTCTGTGCGGAGGGTCGGCTGTGGTGGGTGAAGCTCCCCTCCTGGGGAGAGATGCAGACTGGTCGCCCAGTTGGAGTTTCACCCTGACTTCTGGACAAAGGGGGATGCTCTGCACTCTCTGAAACTGAAATGCTGAGTGAGGCCTGCTCCTCCACCCAGACCCTCAAAATGGGGCAGTGCTGGGACATTTGTGTTAAACCCAGACACACACCAGACATAGTTGTGTACAGAGCACCACCTCTGTCGAGCCCGCTGGCTGCTCTGACCTGACATGAAACTGGCACGGCCGCTCACTCGTTCAGCGCAGCGATCCCACTCACGTGCCACGAGAACTTTGAAAACACTCAGCACCTGACTCTGTAGTCGGGGCACCGACCTCTTTTCCCTTAGCTTGTCAAACAAAAAAATGACAACCGCCCCCACAACAGTGGCTGTCTGGCGTGAATGAATCAAAATTACACCTATTTTTTGGTCAGATCAGCAAAAATATAATACATTCTTCAGTGTACCACAGAATTTTGGTAACTGTTTCCATGTGCCGTGAGATGAGAAAGGTTGAAAATCGCTGATGTAACGTGACGTGCCTTTGGCGCCCGGGCCACATCCGGGAAGATTTTTACAGCCTGCTTACTCTTGAGTTCATTTCTATCCCAATTAAGGAAGCGTGATTTCATGTCTTACAAGCAGAAAGCAGAAAGGTGTGTTCGTGGTGTGTTTAAAAGTGAGGTTGCAGCGTGGGCCTGAGGCCGGCCCTCATTCGCAGGCCCCAACCGCGCGAACCCTTGTGACGCCCCACGGTGAGGCCACGCATCACAGACTCTAACATGCTCTTCTCTTTGTTTGTCCAGCCCCTTCTATGGAGAGGACTTCTACTGTGAAATTCCTCGGAGCTTTCGTCACCTGTCATTTTACATTTTCGATAGAGACGTTTTCCGGAGGGATTCCATCATAGGTAGGTACCAAAATGGACGTTTCCTTTTTTATCTCCGCCTCCTCAGCATGGGGTGTCATTCTGCCACGAGGGGAGCATCTCTTCCAGGCATCCTGTTCTGAGACAACAGAGCCGGTTGGCATTTTTAGCCTGGCCCTTCTGGCTGTGCTGGGGGATGCCCACCTGGCGCAGACCACCTGAGTCCTGCCCTGGCAGCGGGTGGAGGGGCTTCACTGCATAAGTTTATGTAGGAGAGACCAGGACACACCAGCAAAGGCTTTGGAGCTCTCTGTGAAGGCACCAGTACAGCAACCATCAAACCTGTCTTCAAAAGACCCCCGAGGACTCCGCCAAGGGGCCACTGTGCAGAGGAAAACCTTCCCATCATCCCTAGGCTGCTCCTGTTCCTGACTCCCAGCACCCCTCCGTAGGGAATGGGACAGTATTGGGGCTCTCTCAGAGGTACTTAGTGCTCTCAGAGGTATTGGGTGCTCTCAGAGGTACTGGGTGCTCTCAGAGGTATTGGGTGCTCTCAGAGGTACTGAGTGCTCTCAGAGGTACTGGAGTGTTTTCACAGGCATTGGGGTTGCTCTCAGAGACACTAGCATTTCAGCGCGGGACTCTTGGAGATCAGGAGGCCCAGCCTGAATGAGGAGGACAGGTGTGAAATAGCAAAGAAGCTTCCCGAGTTCAGGAGTGCACCTGTGTCCCTATTCATGTTTACTGTGGCCCCAAAAATAGAATTGAGAAGCTAAATATGGGCACAGTTGTAGTTGCTGGAATCCAAGCACCATGTAGTGTCCGTGCTGTGGCCTTGGCCTTTCCTGCAGGGGGCTCTGGGGTAAAGCACTTTGAATTTGAAGTGCACTTGAGGCACGCAGGCCTTTACTCTTGATCATAGTTAAGGCATTCCGACCAGCTTCTACTCTGCCCAGACCACAGGGGCAGGTCACCCACAGAGCCAGTAGGGATATTTTCATCCAGGCCACAGCGGACTCCCAGCAGCGCTGGGGACACCTCCCTTGCAGCTCCTTCCCAGCCTCCTGGCCTCACCCAGACTCTTACTCCTGGGCCTCTGGCGGTTTCTCTGCTTCCTCCTTAGCTGTCAGCCTGTAGGTCCAGCTACCCTGCAGGATCCCCACTGTTGTCTCGAGGCATCTCAGATGCATCGTGCTGAACTCATGGTGGCCACCAAAGGTTCCCCATTGCTGGATAAACCCCCTGTCTGCTGCTTCCTCACTTTCCTAGCTGACCTGCCAAGACTTGGAGGTCAGTTCCTGCACGGTGCAGCCACGTCAGGCCACACCGAGCCTTCCCTTGATTGGACTGTAGCCTGCACAGTCTCAGCTCCTGGCCCTCATACCCTTCCCTTCACTCCACAGCTACCAGAGCTGCCTTTTCTCTGTGTGTGCTGTAAGCATCGTCTCCCTGTGTGAACCTGACCACTGGCTCCCCACCGCACTTACAAAAAGCTCAAAATATGGTTAGGGCCCAGAACTGACTCACAGCATCTGTCCCCAACATCTGGCTTTGGCATAGTAGGCAGTCACTAAATGTTTGTTGAAAGAATGGACAGTTTGGGCTTTTTTGAGTTTTAAAAGAAATATTTTATTTATGTATTTTTAGAGAGAGGGGAAGGGAGAGAGAAAGGGAGGGAGAAAACACTAGTGTGAGGGAGAAACATTGGCTTCTTGTACGTACTTCATTCGGGGAACCGAACCCACAACCCAGGCATGTGCCCTGACCGGGAATCCAACCTGTGACCTTCCGCTTTGCAGGACGACACTCAATGAACTGAGCCCCATCAATCAGAGCAGAATGGAAGGTTTTTGAAAATACTTCCATGCACTGTATTTATTCCATTTCAGAAATTCAATGTGTTTTATAGATAGGTTCCCATCTAAAGAAACTACTTCCTGGAGTTACATGCTTCCATTGTACAGCCTGATGTATTTTCAAAAATATTTCCAAGTTTGAGTCCACACTGCCTGGTTTGGTGTGGAAAAGGAAGTCCATACTTCCTGGGATGAAGACCTTTCATTATGTGGCCAGATTATTCTTTGGGCTGAACTTCTCAGTGTCCACAATGGACCCCCCCATGCTGGTGGATCCAGATTTTCTGGGGGCTGACCCCGGAGTTCCATGGTTTTATTAAGCTTCTCAGGGTGGCATTTACAGTTAGAAGAAAATGAACATGTACTGAATGTTTACGTGTGCCGAGCTCTGTGCTCAGTGTTTTAATGAGCACAAAATCATGCCGTTTATCTTTTGCATTAACCCTGGGAAGTAGATGTCGCCTCCCTTGCTGTATCAAGAAGGAACTGAGGCTCAGAGAGAATAAGACACTGACCCGAAGACGCACAGCTGGTGAGCCAGCAAGTCAAAAAATTCCTATCATGTTTGTAGAGAAGTGAGTACCAGTGTTAGAAGAGACATGGGAGGAGAAAGGTGTGTCTGCACCTGCGTTAGTCATCCCCTGAAAGTCACCTCCCTCCCTAAAGGCTCTTCAGCGGGTCCTGCCCATCATCCCCAGAACTCGCTCTCACTCCGAATCTCATTTCCATCCTGCCCAGTGTGTGATAGGTGCCCTCAGAGAATTCCACTCTGAACCTTTCCTATCTGAATCAAGCATTTAGATTTATGCTTTCTCTGGGACATTGGGCCCAACCACGTGACATGTGAGTGTGAACGCGTCCCTAAACCAAGTGATTCAGCCTGACTGGAGGCCGGGAGGGCAGTAGTCACCTTTTCTACCAAAATCCCTGTATGCACTCCGTCTCCAGCAGGAATGGGGGACTAGAGAAAGTGACAAGCGCATCTTGCTGCTCTGCTCTCTACTTGTTCCGCGGTGGGCGGAGAGGGGAGGTGCCCCCTTCTCTCCCCTACCCTCCCTGTCCTCACACCTTCCCTGTCTCCACTCCCCTTCCTCCCTTTCTGATCTCATGCTCCATCATTTCCTTTACCATGTTTCCTTTTTAGGATCTTGGTCCACATGCGAATTTCTCCTTCAGTCCACGTGTGTGGCTTATTTCCTACCCCTGAGTCATCTCCATGAGCCATCGCGATGCCTCTTATCGAAGTTGGATGAATAATGCTTCCAAGGCAGTACAAGCCTAGGTTTTATGAAAACAAAACGCAAAACCGGCGCCTTTGTACAGGGGGAGGACGTGTTGATTCTTGTTTTATTGTGGCTAGGGTGGCTTAGCTGGAAAATGATGAAACTTAATGAAAGATTTGTTAAGCATTCGTGTGTGGAGACTCCAGTCTTACACTGAAAACATTTTGTATGGGTGCAGCTTAGCATCCGATCCTAGGAAGTTAAACCCGCCCCCCAGCTTCCATGAGCCATCTGGTGTGCCAGGGGCGGTGCTTCTGCTCTGTCATTTCTCCCAGCTTCCGTGCTCTCACTCTGGAAGGGCGCAGAGTGCTGCCTGTTGGTTCTGGGGCTATGTAGCAGGAATTCATGTTGTAGGAAAGGAGCAGAGGTGGAAATCGAAGTGTCGGGTGCATATATGTTGTATTTCTCTATATACCAAATACTTATATAGCATTTGCTATGTGCAGGTATTGTGCTAGGTGTTTTACAAATATTGACTCATTTGCTCTTCATGACTTTGTGAAGTATGTGCATTTTTCAGATGAGAAAAGTGGTGCAGACAAGTCACGCGGCTTTTAGGTGGCAGAGCTAGTGTTCAGACCTCAGCAGCTGGGTTCTCCAGTCTGTGCTGCCGCACTTCAGACCCGATTTTAGGTTCTGCCTTGTTGCCTGTATTTAGAGGCAGTAGTTGCTTGCATGTGGAGCCTGATGGGGGTGGGGTGGGGGAGTCCAGGATGACTCCCGGTTATGGGTTTACACCACCAGGTGGGTGGGGGATGGCGGATGGTGGAGGGTGGGTGGGAGATGGTGGTGGCAGCAGAATGAGTTACTCACATCAGAACAAGATACCATCCTCCATGACCCACCACTGCCATCCCCTCCCACAAGCTGCAGTTTACCATCGCCACCTACCACCCACCATCCATCATTCGTTGTCTGTCGTCTCCCACCCTCCACCCCTCACCTACCTACCATTTACTATTTACCACCTTCCCCTCATCCTCGGCCGTTCCCTGTGCTCCACTCATGAACATCTACCGCCCTCCGCTCATCACCTGCCACCCACTGCTACCCATCCACCACCCTTTACCCATCGTGTAATATCCATCTGTCACTCAGCTTCTACCACCCTCTGTCCGTCACCTACCGGCTGCCACCCACCGCCATCCATCGTTTACCATTCGTCGTCACCACTACTGCTACCCACCATCACCATCCACTATCCACCCTCCTCCACCGCCCTCCATCACCACCCACCACCTTCAACCCACCACGTACCACCCCCTAGTCATCATCTGTCCTCCACCTCCTCTGCCCATTGTGTGCCACCCTCCATCCTCAAGTCCCTGTCCTGTCCCTTGACCCCACTGTTTCTCTTCCATCACCCACCGTCATCCGCCACCACTTCTACCACCACTGTCTACCATTTCTCAGCTACATCTGTGTCTCGCCCCCAAAAATTCACTTGGTGCAAACCATAACCCAGGAGTCACCCAGGATTCCCCGTCCCCATTTACACCCATCCTAGCCCCTGACATGCCTCTCCCCTCTATTGGAATGCAGCGTGTACGTGTGGAACACTTCCTCACTGGGTGTCTACATCTCCACATTGGAGCCTCACTTCCCCCTGGAATCGGTAGTTCTGTGCAGGCGCAGGACAGCAGGTGGCAGGGGCGGACTGAAGGCCCGGGGGCCTACCCTGCAGAGCCTGTCGATGGAAAAGAAGTGCTCGCCCTCTTCCTCCAAAAGCTCCTTTCAGCCGCTGCCTGCTCTGGTGGGAGCCACCCCAAGTGCACCAGGTCTACTGCCTTCCCAGGCCAGTGAAGATGCCAGGGTGGCCGGCTTCCGCTTGACGGAGGACAAGAAAGTTCAAAATCAAGTTCAAAAAGTCCAAAGGCAGCTTTGGTGCTGAGGGAGCACCAAG